AAATTATTTATAAAGTAAAATCTAGAATGATTTTTTAAAAATAAACAGGTAAAAATTTAACCTTTTTTGGAATTACAGTTTTACAACCTGCACCATCAAATGATCCTTGAACACCTAACAACAAATTAAAAAATTAAAAAAGTGAAAAAAATTAAAATAAAATAATTTCATATCAAAATATAAAAACAATAGACTACCATGGATAGAGAGAGATGGATAGCGCCATCTATGTTGTAATGTCAGGTGTTTGACATTTTCTCCATGGTGAATTAATCTATCTGTCCCAATATCATTTGCATAATCTACTGGATCAAAATCAATATCATCATATAGTTTATGCTCCTCCTCTGTAATAGGCTTAACTAATTCATTTACACCAGGTATTAAAATTTTTCCTTTATTATCAACAAGTTTACTGAGTAGGTGACATAAATCAATCATTGCCTCATGTCTAAAATAAATGTAAAATTTTAACTCAAGAAAAATTTTAACTCAAATTTTAACACTGTTCTTAAAGCAATATCTAAAAAACTAAAAAACTTACACAGTGCCACCAAACACACCAGAATGAAGATCCTGCTTTGCACATGTTACTTCCAAAAAGAAATATGTGATACCTCTATATAAAGAAACAAATAATGCCTTTATAGAACAAGTTTTACCTCTATAAAGATTATTATTGCACAAGAAAACTCCATTAAAAAAATCATATATTGTAGTAAGATAATGAAACAGAAAAACTAAATTAAATATAACTATAAGCATAATATATATTATACTATAAAAAATAAATAATAAAAAATATTTAATAGCTATTTTATATATATATATATATATATATATATATATATATATATATATATATATATATATATATATATATATATATATATATATATAACACTTTATATACTTATATTAATTATTTTTTGAAGTATTAGCAAGTTGATATTCTCTTAAATTTTTATTAAATATGATAAGTAAACAATTTCTATTAAAATTTAAAGTCAAACCTTAAGCCATATGTTATACAAGGAGTTTTTTTTCCAAGCCAATAGTTATCGGAGATACAAACATAATCAACATCCTAAAGATTTAACAAAAAAATTACAAAATAATATTATAAACAAAATGCTATAGCAACAAAGTATTATAAAACTATATACCTTAAAAAAAGTATCTTTTTTTAATTCAATTAATTCATCTAATCCTTCACTTCCGCTTTCTTCCATTCCTTCCAGACAAAACTGAAAATAAACTTCTTTAATTATGAGAATAAAAAAATAATTTTTGAAAAAACATATTTTAAATTAATTTAAACATAAAAACAAAAAAAGTCCAGAGAATTTTTATCTTAACTAATAAAGTTGTTTATATGTCTTAAAGATTTAGATTTCTAGAAACCAAAATATTAACATGCAGTATGTATAAGCCAAAATATTTACATGCAGTATGTATAAGCCAAAATACTTACATACGATATTTATAAGTAGATACATTTGAATACTAGAAAACATTTTTTTACAAAGTATTATGCTCTTTGTGATAGTAATTTATAACTTTCATATTTTTACATTTTAAAGATTTTTTATTAAATTAGCAACAAAAATTAAAATACATCAATATTCATTATTTTAAATACCAAGTGAATCAACACTTGGATATAATAAATGACCTAAGTCAGGTCAGGTTTATCCTGCTACTAGTAAAATGTAACCCAGTACAATCTGCTTCATGTCCTGCTACCTTGTAAGATACGCCTTTTTAGGTAAAGGCTAGTAGATGCAAACTCTGACATAAAACACCCCTGCCTTGGGGCTCTTGGTTAAGTAAAGGCTATAGATGGTATCTCAATAAAAATACTCATCTTGGGCAGATGTTACATGCATTCGGCTGCTGTCTTGTAGAAGGCCTCCTAGGCAAAGACCTGAGGGGTAAACAGATTCTATCTGTTGACCAGCCTCGCACCCCTTCTTCATCTATTAGGCTGGCGCAGATGTATTTTTAATACATTGTTTCCAGTTTAGGATGTTGAACGCTGGATCTTCTTGACTCGATGCATGGGTTTTGCTTGAGTCTTTGTTTTTATGACTAGGCAACTCATTCTATTATCTCCAAATGAGGGTAAAGCTCTAAAATCTCAGTTTTATAGTTCTGAGGCCGGCTGGTGGTCAGGTTTCCTGAACTCTGTGGTAGCTCTCAGAGAGGCTGAATCTATCAACAGCTGAAAAATATCAAAGTACTAACAGTGCCATGTTGCACATGGATGGTGTTCCTGTTTGTACTTTTGGTGTGCATTGCCAAGGCCACATTGGAGCCCTTTGTTACGGCTTAGAATTTATTAATAGAAATGAGGCAATTGCTTGGGCTATTAAACAGTGTACTGAGTACTATCTATGTTTCGAGTCAAGTTCTTTAACAAATTTAAAAATGAATTAAGTAACAAAAACTATAAAACACAAAAAAACAGTCATCACCTGGTCTTCGATGAAACTTTTCTTTTGTTGAGTCTTATCTCTTGCAAAGTTCACTAGACCTACTTGCTCTTTGTGAGACTAATTTGAGTTCAGCTGTCTCATCTTGTGATCTTAGTTTTGTTGGTTATCTTCCTTTAATTCGTAAAGACTCCAATAGTCACATGCTTGGCCTGGGCATTAAAATTCATAAGAATTTATCCATTTGTCGGGAAACTAGGTTTGAATCCACAGACTACTTTTTTATGTGCTTTCGTTTAGCACCACTTCACTCTATCACCTTTCTATTTGTTCTATATCGCTCTCCCTCATCTCAAGGCTGCACTCTCCTTGATGTTATTTCTGATCATACTGACCAAGCCCTCTCTATCCATCAGCCAATATTTTTGTTGTCGGTGACTTCAATGTTCATCACACTGAATGGCTTAGCTCTAGTGTCAGTGACTCTGCAGGCATTAAGGCCCACAAGTTTTGCCTTTCTCAATCCCTAACTCAAATAGTCAACTTTCCAACTCGCATTCCAGATAACCTGAATCATTTACCTTCTCTACTCGACTTATGTCTTGTATCTGATCCTAGTCAGTGCTCCGATCATAGTTTGGTCTCTCTAAAACTATTATCTCATTCTTCTTTACCATCAGAATCCCTAAAGACAAAACTGAATTGTTTGCTAAGAACTTTTTATCAATATAATCTCTTGACTCCACTAGTTGCGCTCTACCTGATATAGCCGTCAAACAGGTTGATCCATTGCTCGACATCCATATCACTCCAGCTTCTGTATCTAAAGTGATTTCCCGCTTAGACACTTCTACAGCTTGCAGCCCGGACAACATACCTGTTATAGTCTTGCAGAAGTGTTTTCCGGAGCTGTCGTCTATCCTTTCAAAACTATTTAACAAGTGCTTATCAGAGTCTTGTTTTCCAGCCTGCTGGAAAACAGCATCTGTTATCCCTATTTTTAAAAATTTTGGAGAGCGATCCGATTCATCTAACTACCGTCCCATTAGTCTTCTTCCTATCATAAGCAAGGTTTTTGAATTTTTAATTAACAATCACATAATTTCTCATCTTGAATCTCATAACCTACTTTCTGATCATCAATATGGATTTCGATCTTCTCATTCTACGGCTGATTTGCTATCAGTAATAACTGATAGGTTTTATTGCACATTAGATAAAAGTGGGGAGGTTAAGGTCATCACTCTTGACATTTCTAAAGCATTTGATAAAGTTTGGCATACTGGTCTTCTCCATAAGCTTTCTTCTTACGGTGTATCTGGAAAAATCTTTGAGATTATTGAATCCTTCTTTTCCAATCATAAAATAAAAGTTGTTCTTGATGGACAGCACTCTTCTTCTTATTCTGTAAACTCAGGGGTTCCTCAAGATTCAATCCTTGGCCCTATACTCTTTTTAATTTACATTAACGATCTTCTAGATATTCTCACATCTAAGGTGACATTGTTCGCTGATAATACTACCATTTTTTCTTGTCACGATAAGAAGCCAACTCCCTCTGATTGCTTGCAGGTTGGCATTTGAGCTTGAAAAGGATCTCATTTCTGCTAGAGCATGGGGCTCACAGTGGCTGGTGAACTTTATTTCAGATAAAACTCAATTTTTTTCAGCCAATCGTTATTGCAATAATTTACCTTCCTATATTTATGAACAGTAATGTACTCAATGAGTCATCTACCCTTCATCTTCTAGGATTAACTCTCACTTCTAAAGTTTCTTGGAAACCTTATATCAAATCCGTTGCAAAATTAGTTTCTGCTAAAGTTGCTTCTCTTTATTGAGCTTGACAATTTCTTACTCTGGATTCTATTCTCTATCTCTATAAATCTCAAATCCGACCTTGTATGGAATACTATTGCCGTATCTGGGGCCGATCTTCTAATGATGCCCTTTCTCTTTTAGACAAGGTGCAAAAATGCATTGTAAACATAGTTGGACCTGGTCTTGCAGCCAACCTTCAACCTCTGTCACATCGTCGTTATCTTGCTTCTCTTTCTCTTTTATACAAATACTATAATGGGCACTGCTCTAAAGAGCTACCGTCTCTTGTGCCATCTACTAAAATTCATTCTCGTATTTTTCGTCATTCAATTAAGTCTCATCCTTTTTCTGTTACTGTTCCTAAGTGCTCCAAAAACTCTTATTCGTCTTGTTTTTTCCTTCGAAGATCAGTTCTATGGAATTCGCTTCCTTTATCTTGCTCTCCTGATTCATATAATTTTACTATCTTTTAAGTCATCTGTCAATTGTTATCTTGCTTTACAACCTTCATCTTTTCTTTTCCAGTAACTTCCAACACTAATTAGTGGTTGCTTGCAGCCTTGTTGGAAGCGAAGATGCTAAAATATATATATATATATATATATATATATATATATATATATATATATATATATATATATATATATATATATATCAGGCCTTGTTAAGAAGCGTTACGCAGCTTGCATTTTGCCTGCGAAAAGGCGATTTGCCTACGCGTTCAGCAGTTATGCGTTACGCAAAAACTTTATCTTTAAGAATATTTAAATTATCTTTTTATATCGTTTATGTGACGTTCATTCAGAAGTATTAAAGTCGTAAGTAAAAGCATTTAACCGCAATTGTAAACTAATAGATTTTTTGTTAAAGAAACAATTTGTTTAATAATTTTTTTTTTGTTTTTAAAAATTACTCAAAGAAAATAAATTAAACTTTTCATCATATTTAATTTTAAATATTAGATTTCATAAGTTTATAAACAATCAAATTTAAAAAAAGAATAATTTTCAATTTATTTTATTAAATTTAACTATTTTTTTAATAATTATAGTTTTTAGTAAATAAATTTATTAAATTTAATTAAAATTCTTTCATTTAATTTTAAAACAGAGCATTTTAAAATTTTTTAATTTTAAAATTAAAAAATTAAAATTTTTTAATTTTAAAATGCTCCGTTTTTTTTATAAAATTACCAAAGTAAAAAAAGATTTGATAAATTTAATTCAAGTTACTTTAAAATGTTCGTATTACATATAACTTTATTTTAATTTTAGTTAAGTTTCAGGTAAGTTCCAAATACTGGTCTGAAAGATGCGCTTACAAAAGCGCATTATTTTCCAGTTTTTATTTTTCCATTATTTTACTGTATCATTCATTATTTACAGAAGCGCATTATTCATTTTATAACTACATGTTAATAAATGACGTCAATACTTTTTAACTCGAGTTATAAATGTTATGTTTGGGTTTTCCCTTTGCCGTTTGCCAAAGAATTTTTTTTAAAACAAACCAAGGACGTATTAACAATACGTCCTTGAACAAACTAAAATACAAACCTATTAAAAATAACGTGATCAGTAAATAAACTCTTTAAAAACCCAACTTATCTTTATTTTATTTTAAAAACAAAACTAGTACTTGAGCTATAAATATAAGATACATAAATTTCAAAATTATAATGATATTTGTTAAAAACAAATTCTGCTTATAACATCTGAAAACCGAAAACACTATTTTTTTTTCGGATTGAGAAAAAAAATATTAGGTTTCACTGTACATAAAAATAAAATAGTTTAATCGAAATAAAAAAAAAAACAAAGCCGAAAAAGCAGTAAATTTTGTTTCTTTACAAACATTTATTTTATCAAAACAAACGTTTTTTTTTAAAAGGGAAAACCCAATCTATGCGTTTAGTTATAAGTACATTTAAATCCCTTTAAGAAAATCAACCATAAACAAGTGTTAAATTTAAATTATTTAAAAAAAAAAAAAAAAAAAAAAAAAAAACAACCATAAAACGAATGTTTAAAAGCAAAAAAATTAAGTTTAAATAAGTATAAGATTTTAATACAAGAAGACTTTTTTTTAACCAACATTGAAATTTTTTTTTTATAACAACATTCTACAATTTAAATTTAAAAGTTTCAAAGACTAACAATAGTTTTTAATGTCATTTTAAATTTAATTACAATGAAGTAAAAACGCAACTGACGTAAATTAACTTTTAACAATGTAAATATCTTAATTGAGTAAAGTTACATTTATTCACGTTCAGCTTTTCCGTTACGCAGCGAAATCTCGTAACAAGGCCTGATATATATATATATATATATATATATATATATATATATATATATATATATATATAAAAATATAATTTTAAACTTTTTTTAAACAGAATTAAATAAAACTCTAAATATCTTCTCTGCTAAACATTTGCAAGTGTAGTAGAGGTGAGGTGAAGTATTTTATTTGTAGATAAATACACTCTTAAGGTTTTTCTTAAAAAAGTAAACAATCCAAAAATTTATTATGCAAAACTCCATTATTTGATTCAAATTTTTCAATTTTTTAAACAATTTTATAAACAGATTGCTAAAACGAAAAGCAGTTTTTAATTGCTTTCAAACTTGTTTATCTAAATGTGTTACTTTATTTGTACATTAAAATCACAATCAATGCACACACACAATCAATATAGATATACATTTGATGCAATTGTTGTCCCATAGTTATACATGTTTTAGCACATCAAATCAAGAATTTTAAATAGTCTAAAATTGGTAAAAAGCTCAAATTTGATACACAATTTTTTAATTTTTCTTTTTCTTAAAATTTAAATTGGACAAATATTCAACTGAATAAGCAATATTTTTATAAAAACATATTGAAAACAACTTATTAAACAAACCTTTAAATTAACAGGTAACTTAATATTCAAAGTATGAAATGCTTCAATAACTTTCAACCAACCCAACACTGGTCCCTTATCATCAGTTGAACCTCTTCCATATAACTTACCATCTATTTCAGTCATTTCAAAAGGCTCTGTGTCCCAACCATCTGCTTTTAAAGCAGGCTGAACATCCAAATGCCCATATATACAAACAGTTTTCTTTGAAGGATCAGAGCCAAGACTTCCAAGAAGGATTGGGGGCAAAGGAATACTTTTACCATCAGCTGTCTTCTGCTCAACTAAGGGATTATCACACATTTCAATGTTAGCTCCCAGACTTTCCAGTTCCTAAAAATAAAAGGGTTTAGTGATAGACAAAACAAAACAAATTTATATTTAAAACAATAATTCAATTATTATACTTAATAACTTTTAATAATTAGTAATATTATAATTATACTTAATAACTTTTAATAATTAGTAATATCCAATACAACTTATTATTTATTAGTTAGTTTACTAATAAATAATAAGTTACTACAAAAGTTAATAAATTACTACAAAAGTTACTTTCAACTATTCTAAGTGAAGAATAAATGAAGAACAAATTAACTATTAAAGGAAGAAAAAATGAAAGAAAGGAAAAAATTAGTTTTTGTATTTTTTTACATTATTTTACTTTAACTATTTTACTTGTTTCATAGACAAGTAAAACATTGCAAACCTTTCAACTTTTTACTTGTTTCATAAACAAGTAAAAACATTGCAAACCTTTTAACTTTTTACTTGTTTCATAGACAAGTAAAAACATTGCAAATCTTTTAACTTTTTACTTGTTTGATAGACGAGTAAACCCTTTTAAACTTCTGAATAAAATCTTGAATGATAATTAATGATAAAACAACAATTGTTAACATTTCAAAAACTGGATTCAATGGAAAAATGACATTCAAAATATCCATTGTCACATGATTTTGAGAATCAATGATTTCCTTTAAGAATTAAAATATCCTGATAAAAATGGCTAATTATAATAAACTTGTTAAAAATGGAGTGAATAAAAGAAAAGTTTACAATTCAAAACTTACTGCTTAAAAAACAGATTGTAACTGCATCAGATTTAGATAATTTGAAGTTATAAAATGGAAAAAAACATGTTTTGATTAAAATCAACAAAAAAAGAAAAGCAAGATTCTTTACTTTTTATTGAAATGAATGGGGTGACATTGTGTTATATAGTGTTATAAGTTATTTCAATAACTTTTCATTGATTTTACAACTAATACATACCTAACATTATAATTTAGGCAGTGACGGATCCAGGATTTGTTGTTGTTGGATTAAAACTAATATAGAACTTTAACTTTGTTTATAAATTATAACTTTCAGGAATTACATTTAATACTGCTAATAAAGTGGTAGCTTTGCATATGTGAGCCAAATTCTTTCCACTCTAAATACTCATAATGAATAGTTTAAGTAAGTAAATATTCTTACAGTTTTAACCACATCATCCCAACTTTGTTAAGAAATCAATGATGGTAACAAAGCAAACATTTTCATAACTAGTTGAAAAACGTGTATCCATAGATTAAATCACTGAATTTAGGTATGGAAACCAATATTTGTAATATTGGCATGCCTTTTCAGCAGGGACATTGTTTCTATGCAATTGCTTACATAAGACATGAGGAATTACTGAGGATATATTTAAAGCATTTGTTAAGTAATTAGTAGTGTTGAATGGGCCAAAAATAGCATTTGTACATGTTTCATTCTTATCAAAACGCCACACTAAAAGAAACTTTTTCACAAAATTTAAGGGATTTAATGCACCAATTAGATTGTTATTGACTATTTGCAATAACTTAGACAATGTTACTGTCAATGCCATTATTTTTTTGGCACAACAAAGTACTACAATAACAACAGCATAATTAAGACATTTTAGTAGTCCTCTTGCAGTGTCAACAGTTTTACTTTTGACAATTTTGTTAGCAATTTCCTCTTAAAATTTTATAAAATTTCAATCAAAAATAATTAAGCAATCATGCCTCTCAAAAAAATAAAACTTTTCAAGCATGAAACAGAACTTTTGGACTCTTGTAAAAACTTTTCTTATATCTCACTTCTCTTAACAGAATCATTAATTAAAGTTGTGCATTTTTTCACTATACTAAACATATCCCTAATTTCGGGTACAAAACAAGTAGAATTTAAAATCAGGTTCAGGACGTAACAACTGCAATGCACAAAACTGCAGATGGAGCCAGCTGTTCTATGTGCTCCTGGACACTATTATAACAGCTAGACATAGCTGATACACCATCATAACCTTGACCAACTTAGTAAGAAAGATCAAGGCAATGCCTTTAAGAGTTTGAATAATTAGCTTACCTAGCCATTTACCACTAAGATCATTAGCTTTCATAAAATTTGAAAATTCTTCTCGGATTGTATGAAAACCATTTATCTCAAAAACAAATTGAATGCATACACATAACTGCTCTTGATGAGTAATATTGTTTCATATGCAATCACTGAAAAATACTTTGCAATTTTAGCCTTAATTATTTTTTTCAAATATAATTTGACCACAAATGTCTATTAGCTCATTTTGAATTATTTTCGAAATATTTGTAGCATTCTTTCCTGAACTTTTTGAATGGTGTTCTAAAATTTGTGCTTTAAACTTTCTAACTGTGCTTTAAAGTTTCCATCTGTCTTTATTAGTCCATCATTTGTTTCAAGACTGACATTGCTGTCATTCCTTCTGCCTTGATATGCAATACCAAGTCTACCAAAAAGCATAACAGTTTTATTGTTTGGAACCAAACGCTCACCTAATTCTTTGACTTCCACTTTGTACTGTGCATTTAGCATAACTTTTATATTTGTACCTGAGTTTATAGATAGTAAAAAATGATTACCAATTATGTGATATTGGTTATTTAATGATTTGTCATTTATTTATTACTTCCTGTCAAATGAATGTATTTTTTAAGTGTTCTGTTAACTAATTGATCTAGTTTTGTAGTTTTTCCCATCCTTCATTCAGGCTTGGTCGGGAAGCGGGAGCGATCGCTCTCGAATACTGACCACGGAAATTATATTTAGTTGCGTAAAACTGGCCAGGTTTTTTAGTCGTTTTGAGAACATTTAAGTTTATGTACGAAACAAAGAATTTTTGTTTTACGGACATACATGGAAACATAAAAAACTTGAATGTTCTCAAAACATCTTTGTGCGAAAGAATAAAAAAAATATTTGCGAACACTAAAAACCCGCCAAATTAACAAACAAACTAATACTATTGGTTCAAAAAATACGCTGATTAAGCAAAATAAAGTTCTAGAGTATTCTGTTAAAATGTTTTAGAAATTGTATTATTCACGATTTGTTACGTTTTGAGATTTGTAGAATTGTTTTAAGAATATATATTATTTGTTTACAAAAATAAATGTTTTAAATATATATTAATTAAATTGTTAAAATTTTAAAAGTTTATTATAAATCATAGATTTTATTAGTATATTCTTATTTTTTATTTTAAAAGAGATTGTATTCTTTATGTAAATGTAATTTTGTGTATTTGTTTTTTATCGTAATGTATCTTTTAAAGCAATTTTTATGATTTAAACAAAGACTTACAAAAATAATTGCGTTTTTAATGAAGTTATAATCGTTAAAGTTAATAAAACTAATTATGTAATAAACATATTAGAAGTTTCTGGTTACTAAACACAAACAACGCATACAAAGTAACTCGCGGATGAACAAGCATCGCGCCTGAGAACACGACAGAACACAAATATATAATAGCAAATATTTGGATATAAAGAAAAGTTTCTAGATATTGGTTTACTAACTCTAATTATTTTCGCTTAAGTTGCCATTCTTAAAACTCGTTATACTTTTTTCTGCTTTAAATACTAATTAAAATTAAAAAGCCCACTTACTAAACATCATTAGAGATATTGTGAAGCAGTTTCGCTTCCTGGTCATTAAGTATTTTTAACCTTTTTAGTTGATTTCTATCTTGATAATTTAATTTCTATAGTATTTCAATGATTTAATTATTTCATTTGTTTATCTTACAAAGAAGAATCGCTTCAAATATGTTAAACTTTTCAAACTACGCGAAACATAAAATAGGTATTAAAAAAATTAACTTTTTTATTTATAAAATAAATTAAGCTTAAGTAAAACTAAAAATTTCAAATTTAGTTAAATAAAGAATATTTGTTTCCCTTTTAAACAATCGTAAGTTGTTACTTTATATAAAAAACATCGCTTAATTTTATAAAAAAAAATTACAAAAAACCGATGTTTAGAAAATATTTGTTCTAAATGTAACTTATTTAGCTTAAGGTTTTTTCGCGTTTAAAGATATTTTATTTGCCTACATTTTTTTTTTGTAATTGTCTCTCATCGGTCCAATTTATTTTAATCGCTTTTTTTTTTTTGCTTTTTAAAATGTTCTCAAAACGACTAAAAAATCTGGCCAGCTTTTCGCAACTAAATATTATTTACGTGGTCAGCAATCGAGGGCGATCGCTCCCGCTTCCCGACCAAGTCTGTTCATTGTATATAGATATTTGAAAGAAAAACCTTGCATCAAATGTTCAGTCATAAGTTTCTTTTTTTATAGATCATTAAGTTTTTTTAGTTCAATATATGCAATGTTACCCAAAAAAAAAAACGCGAGTAATATCATTACTGGATGGAAAAGAACAATCTTTGTTTGTCTTTTTAAGACTACTAAAGTACAAAATGCATCATTGGTGCAAATAAGAGGTTTTTTAGTCAAAAAATTCAAAAATAAAATCCTAGGTTTCTTTACATTCTTTGGCAATCTTCAGACTTTGTAGTGAGATTTTGTTGCACAACGGAAAGCGTAACACAAGTAAATGTAACTTTACTCAATAAAGATATTTACATCATTAAAATTTTAATCGCGTCAATTGCGTATTTTAAAGTACTATATTGTAATTAAATTTAATTTGAAACCAATTAATAATCATTGTAAGTCTCTATCTTTATAAAATATCTTCAAATTAATCAATATTGCTATAAAAAAAATTATAATTAAAATTTAAACGCTTAAAAAAAAAAAATTTATTTATTTAAAAATCTTATTCTTATTTAAACTTATTTTTTTTCTTTAAAACATTTATCATAAGATTTTCTTTAAAACATTAAACTTAAGATTTTTTTTTTTTTTTTAATGAGGGGGCACTTGTTTATGGTTGAATTTCTTTAAAGGGATCCGAAACTCCCAACACATGTTGTGTTCATATTAAAGATAATGTTAAAAAAAAAGGTTTGAACCAAATTTTTTTTGATTA